TGAACATGCCTTTCGTTTTCCTCTCCCTCGGGATTGCGTTGAGTTCTGCCCCTCATCTGCATGCAGATTCTTTTTCTTAATTCAGTGGGTGACAGTGAACATTCAAGAGCAAAGACCACCTGCTGTAGGTCTCACCCTAGCTGAAGCATGGGCCTCACCCAAGCGCCCAACCTCCCAGCACCCTCTGGGCGCGCCCGCAGAAGGACTCTGATTAAGCGTGTGGTCACTGGCAGTTTAGACTTTGAGAGAAAGGATTCCCACCCCTGTCCCCCCCATCATCATGGATTCTGAGAAGAAACAGCCCCCTTTGCAGACGCTCATGCGGTCTGCTCCATTAGGGGCTCTCAAAAGCCAAGAGTCATCACCCTGTTCACACACACACACACACACACACACACATACGTGTACTCACGTCGGCGCCAGGTGTGCCAGGCTTGCCTGGAGCTCCCGGCTTTCCTGGTTCTCCAGCAAGACCCTCAGAGGGAGAAGCCGAGGCAGATGGATAGGAGAGACAAAAAAATGCAAAGATGAGACTCTTCGAACTCGGGTAAAGGAGAGAAGGTGGGAAACGAAACTGCGCAACTGCACAATCAACTTACCGGGGGGCCCGGGGGACCCTTTGGACCTCGATCACCCTGGAGCAAAAGAAGAAAGGCGAGAGAAGTTAGTGAGCCTCTCTGGACCCGGGACCCCTACTGGAAGAACTCCCGTCAGGTGAAAGAGCGAAGTTCTACCTTAAACTAACCCTGGACAGATCTACTTCGCACGCTGAAGGCCCCATGCATCTGGGATCCAAACCCAGGCTCACGCAAACAGATCTTGCCGTTTCTGGGGACACCTAGCCCTCTCTTAGTGACTAGCTGAGACGCCGGAGAAATGGTAGAAGGGCAGGAGAGGCGGAGTAGAGATAGACACTTACATCGATACCGTCTATGCCCGGAACTCCAGGGGGTCCTGGAGGCCCTGGGGGGCCCTGCACACCTGGGGGTCCTCTCTGGCAAAAAGCACACAGGGGTTAATGAGCAAATTGGACAACCAGCGACTGGGCTCAGCACACACACTGCACCCCCTCCGCTGGGTAATGTTTCCTCCAAGTGTGGGCAGGCTTGGATATCGAAACTCAGATATTAAACTTGTCGGGTTTCAGCTCCGACATGTTTTTCTGCATGAGGCTATACCACGGAGTAGGGCAGAATCAACTGGCCTGAGCTGGCGGGAGGGAGTCAGGGGCAAGGGGGGATGTCACAAGGCCACACAATGGAAGATGGGATCAAAAATTGAAAACAGGGTTCGATGTAATCAGCAACTGGAGGTCAGTGTGTGGCCAGTAGGGACAGGCACTCCCTCACGGTGCGGTTCTGTAACTCCTAGGGTCTGGGAGAATCTAGGGAACGGTCATGAAATAAAAGGTTTCGGAAAGGTGAAACCCAGCTCCTTTCAGATTTACCTGCAGTGAGATCTTCGAACCTCACCTCAAAACTACACCTCTCAGACTGACCCCACCACCGTGACCTTGCAAACAGCTCAGCTTTGCGGGTGCCGGAGACAATGCGGGCCGACTGAAATACTCTGAACTTTGTGCTTGGAGAATGTAGGCTTCCCCCTACCCCCTAACCCCCACCCCGCCTCCGCTGAGTGTAAAAAAAGAGAGAGGGAGAGAAAGAAAAAAATCCTTTCATCAAGGAAAACTTTGTTTTTCTAAACCCAGACGACCAGACAGGTTACAATGGGGTCTTTGTATGTGAAACCTCAAACCGCCCCCTCCGGGCCTCCTCCAGCGCCGGGAGGAAGGAGGTGCCAAAATGGGAACATGCTGAGAACTTGACCTGAGGCAGAGGGGCCTCTGATCTCCCAGCTGCCGGGCGCGGCCCCCGGGCCTCAAGGTGCCGGGCCACCATGCGGGCTGGGGCGAAGGTGACAGGAAAGGGGGAATCCCTGTCCAGATTGCCCTTAGCGGTGGTGAAGGCGGGTGGGTGGTGAAGGAGGTGCTCTTTCCGGGAGTGAGGGGTCACCTGGGACCCTCGGTTTAAGGTGAGGCGCCACCTGGGTGCCAGGAAGCTCGACTCGGGATGCTCTGAGCCTGCCCACAGCTCGCGCACCGCAGCGCCCCGGCCCTTTCCGGGGTGCTCATCAAAAAGGCCAACACTGCTCGTCCCTGCTTACCTGTTCGGTGGGCTGGCTGGGCTGGAGAAGAAAACACAGACAGAAGGTGAGAAGGCGCCCATCACCCCCGGACTCGCGCCCAACTTACTTGCGCCGCGCACAGGCAGAGCGCCGAGAGCAGCAGCCTCAGCCCCAGGGCTCCGCCGCCCCGCGTGGTCCAGGCCATGGCCGCCGCCCTCGGCTAATTGCCCGGGCCCACTCGGCTGCCCGCCGCCCCGCGAGCCTCCCCGAGCAGCCGCACGCAGAAAGTGACGCTGCCCCTCAGCAGAAGGTGCCCCAGGGAGGAAGTGGCAAGAGGGCCAGGGAGGCGTAGGTCCCTCCTGCTTCTGAATGGTCCCTGACAGGGTCCTGGGGATTGGAGGAGAGCTCACGGGGCTGGAGAGGACGGATAGAATGACATTGGTCCCTCTTAACCCTTTCCCCACGGCCTTGCCGGCCGGCTGGATGGAGAGCACAGCTCTGCGCCTCCCCGCCCTCCACCTTCCGCCCCAAACCCCACCAGGTCTTCTTCGTAAACCCCCAAAGGGAGCACCGAGCACCCGAGATGCTTCTTTAACAGACCTGCCTCGTGGGCAGGGTCTTCGCAGAGCTACTAGAAGGAAAGGCAGTAGGTGGGGAGAGGTGAGACCGAACCAAACCAGCCGTTGCCGGTAAACAAGGGGCTCACCGTTATCCGGACTGGGAGCTCGTGGCAAGTCTCCCTCCTGGGTCGCAAAGGGTCGCAATGGATCAGCATCCACTGAAGTTCAAACTGGAGAGAGAGCAGACAGTTCAAGTTCACTTGGAAGGGAAAAGCAGGTCGTCTAACAGAAAACTCGACTGCAGACAAACTAGCATTGGTGGAGTTCCATGATGCAGAGCTCTTGCTTTGCATTTAATAAATGATTTTCCAAAAAAATTAAAATGAAATAAATGATTTTTCTATGGAAACCCAGGTTTCTCTGCTCATTGGCTATAGATGTCTTGAGCTCAACCTTACTGAAGCATACCATAAACCAAACCCTTGTCGCTGATCCTTCTTCTGTTTCTGGTCCTTGCCAGTCTATTAAAAAGGAGGTTCAGAGAGAACACGGAAGTGTCTAGGTCCAAGCCAGTAAGTGTTGGAGTCTGGATTGTGCCCAACTACTGAGTATCCATGCTCCAAGGGTTTAGATGGGAGAAGAGTGGCAACAGAGAGACAAGCAGGCAAAGATCAGGAGAAAAGAGCAGTCTGCCCCAGAGGAAAACAGCGTTTTAGGGAAGCCATCCCCCAGAATGGCTGCAACTTCAATGTAAACTGGAAAGGCAACAGGTGCAGAGACTGAAACTTGTACTCCGAAAAGGAAATTTTAAACAGAAAGAAAATGTTTAAATGTGTTCTATAATCTTGTTTGCTATCTAACCACCACAACAAAAATGCCCACTGCCATTGAGTCAATAGTGACCGTAGAGGACAAGGGAGAACTGTCCCCCCGCCCCCCATAGGTTTCAGAGACTGTAACTGTTTACAGGAGTAGAAAGCTCCACCTTTCTTCCTTGCTATGTAAAGAGACATGAAATTCCTGGAACCTTGAAATCCAAGTGTATCCTGAAGGTTCCTTCCTTACATTTTAACCAGGGTGAAGGGAGAAAGAAGGCCAGAGGAAAGAAAAGGCAAGGGAAAGGTTATCAGGTTTGAACCTGAAAAGAGCATCACATTAACACAGGCCAAACAAAACAAAAAGACCACACAGGAAGGCTGGCGCCATGTTCTACACCAAACTCACTGCCATCAAGAAGTATCTGAGTCTCAGAGACCCCATGGAAGAGGGTAGAACTGGCCCCTGTGGGTTTCCAAGACAGTAGATCTTTATGGGAGACGAAAGCTTCAACTTTCTCCTGCAGAGCAGCTGGTGGTTTTGAACTGCTGACTTTGCAGTTAGCAGTCCAATGCTTAAGGCTCTTGCTAGCATTTCAAATGAAATCCATCGATCTATATCTCTTGATTCTCTGAAAGTTTGCAGATTTCTGACCGAGTATCCAAGTTCTAAATCTGAACATTGCTTCCTTGCTTTCATCCAACCACGATTTCCATTCCAACCTATTTATCAAATGGATTCTTGATCTGGTGGACCTAGAATAACATTAGATCCTTTCTCTCTCTCTCTCTCTCTCTCTCTTGTCCTTTTAGAGACTACAAAGTTGAGAATACTGGATGGAAAATCAAAATGGAAGTGGGTGAAAGAATAAGTGAATAAGTTCTGTCCATACAGAAAAAGGAGCCCTGGTAGCTGTCAGGTAAACATTGCAAGGTTGGCAGTTCAAGTCCACCAGATGTTCCTCGGGGAAAAGATGAGGCTTTCTGCTCCTGCAAAGATTTACATCCTTGAAAATCTTATATCAGGTTTCTATGAGGCAGTATCCATTCAGTGATAGTTTTTACTTTATAAAGATGTCAAAATAAAACAGTTCATTTATTGACTATCTCACAATATAACTTTTTTATATTTACAACAATAGTTTTAAAATCTATCTGATTATTTTGCCCATTAACAATGCATTGTCTGGCAGTAATGTTATCTGTGAAGGTTAAGGTTATGTGTCAACTTGATTGGGTCATGATTCTCAATGGATTATATAATGTTGTAATTGGCAGTTATATGATGATAGAATCGTCCTTCATTTTTGTCTTATGCTGACTTTTGCATAAAGTCCTGGTCTTTAGAATGTAACCGGGTTGATAATCAAGGAGGGGCTGTACATTAAACTTCCACCTTCCTCCAGAGGAGCCCTTCCCACGTGATTCTGACTGTCCTGGGGTTTTGCCCATTACTCTTGCTCCTCTATCCCCTCCCAGGTTTTTCTAGGAGACACAGACATCCAGGAAAATGAATCAAGCAGTTCAAAAAGTAAATGAGTTAAGTCAGGATGTATATTGGCTGGGATTGGGGGGAGGGGGACTGCCACAGAGTCAATTCTGACTCATAGCAACCCTATATGGATTTTCTGAGGTTGTAAATTTTTATAGAAGCAAGATAGACTGACCTTTTCCCAGGGAGTGTTTTGTGGGTTTGAACCACTGACCTTGTGATTACAGTTCAAAGCTTACTCAACAACACACCAGCGCTCCTTCAGGATGGAAAGTAATCTATAAATTATAGAAGAATTATATCTGTATAACCCATGCTATTGATTATTCAATAGATGTATACTGGCATTCTCCAAAAGAATTCTTCAAACTGCATAATATCTTGCCCTTTAGGAAATCAATTTTTTTTTAATCAAAGTAGTCTTGTTGGTTTAAGAGGTATTTTATTTGGGTTTTCTGTAAAACATCAGGAGAATTCTTGAAAGGAAAATGAAAGAAAGAACAGAAGAAGCGTTTCCTTAGAGACTACTAAAGACTTGGTGCTCCTTCACACAACAGAAGAAAAGAGGGGAGGCAGTCAGGTTGAACAATTTACACAGGGGACACAGCAAGCGCATCATAGAACTGGAATTCTGGAAGTGT